TGCAAAATAAACTAAATTCTCTACTTTGAAATGGGGGGCCATTATCCGTAACATCGTATTGGGGTAACCAAAAATAGAAAAAGTTTTAACAACCATTTTCTTACTTCAGTAAAATTATTCGTCGTCATTTTTTGTATTTCAGGCCATTTATTAAAACTATCTATTATTACTAGATATATATCTCCGTTAATTGGTCCGGCAAAATCTAAATGAATTCTTCCCCATGGTTTATTTGCGGGGGGGGCATTTCCCTATGATCGTTTTATTGCCAGGATTATTTGTTTGACATAATTCACAATTCTTACCGTGTAATTCGATATCTTCGTTAATATTCGGCCACCAAACGTTCTCTTGTGCCAATAATTTTGTTTTAGTATAACCCTGATGCCCCATATGTAAAAAAGACAAAATATTTACTTGTAATTTTTTTGGAATTATGGTTCTTAATCCCCATAATATACACCCTGCCTCCGTTAATTTCGGCGCTGAAAAAATGGTTTTAGATTTTCGTCTATCATCTTTGGCCATCCAGTTGTAAGGTAACGTGAAACCTTTGATAATACCGGGGCATTTCTTGTGTGTGCTTTTATATCTAACGCTGAAATAAATTGTGAAGCATCCGATACTATTAAATTAATATCTAACTCTTTCCAAGCAGATGGTTTACCGTCAATTGGAAACCGGGAAAGCATATCCGCATTACTATTTTTTTTTGTCCCTCGAAGTTGCAATTCATAATCATAATTTGCTAGTAGTAATGACCATCTTACTAATCTTGATGACATATCTGTTATTCTTTTATGTGGATTAAGTAACGATATTAGGGGTTTATGGTCAGTAATGATAATGAAATGTCTGCCAATTAAATATTGTTTAAATTTAATTAATCCAAATATAATTGCTAAAGCCTCACGCTCTATCTGACTGTAATTTCGTTCGGTAGCATTTAATGTTCGAGACGCGTATCCAATCGGTTTTTCCTCGTTGTTAATGATATGAGATATAACTGATCCTATTCCATGTTGAGACGCATCAGCCGCTAGAATTATCGGTTTTTCCGGATTCTAATGTGTTAAAATTGGTGCTTCTGATATTAATTTTTTAAATTTATTAATTACAATTGTTTCATTATTTGTCCATTTTCATGGCACATCTTTCCTTAAAAGCCTATATAATGGAGCGGCAATAGAAAAATTGTTTATAAATTTTTGATAATAATTTATTATACCGATAAAAGCTTGTAATTCTTTAACGTTTTTAGGTAACGGTGCGTCTAAAATTGCATTGACATTCTTATTTGTTGTCGTAATTCCCTCTTCGCTAACGGTATGACCTAAGAATTCAATCTTTTCTTTATAAAAATCACATTTTTTTAGATTTAATTTCATACCGTTTATTTCTAACGTCTTTAATACATTTATCAAATTTTTCTAATGACTCTCAATTGATTCCCCCGTAATTATTATATCGTCCAAATATACCGCTACTCCAGGTAATCCCTTTAATAATGAATCCATTGTTTGTTGAAAAATCGCTGGCGCTGAGGCTACCCCAAACGGAAGTCGTGTGAAACGATACAATCCACTAGGCGTGTTGATTACTAACAGCTTTTTTGCCTCCTCATCTGGCTCTATTTGAAAATACGCTTCGGATAAATCTAATACTGTATATTTACACCCATCACCTAGTGTGGCTAATAATTCATTAATTCTGGGTAAAGGATATTTATCTATCAAAATATATGCATTAACCGTTTGTCTGAAATCACCGCAAATTCGTAAAGATCCATCTTTCTTCAATACGGCCACAATCGGAGAAGCGATATTCGAGTATTTTAGTCTTTCTAAAACTCCCATGGATTCCAGTCGTTGTAATTCCGTTTCGAATTTTGCCTTCCACGTAAATAGTATCGGTCTACTTTTCATACATTGAAACTGAGGGTTGGATTTTACCGCTAAACTGGCCTTAAACCCTCTTAGTAAACCTAATTTTTTAGTAAATAATAAGGAAAATTTATGTACAATATTATCCTCCCAAACCTCATTAACTGTATTACATTGATTTATTTTTATTAATTTTAATTTGTTTATTAGGTTTCTACCTATCAAATTAATCCCATTGTTTACAATAATAAATTCATGATATATAACTTTATTCATATAATTAACGGGTAATATACATTTACCTTTAATATTGATCATTACATTATTATAAGATTTTAAAATAATATCCGTTTTTGTTACTGGTATTTTTAAACGGTAAACGTCTTCTATATTCAAAATGGAGACTGCCGATAGAAATTTAATATAAATTTTACCTATCAATAATTTCACCTCAAATTTTTCTCGAGACTCCTCTGGAAATTCCCAATCCTCAAAACTTTCTCCCTCATTATCGTAATATATTCTTTCTTCCCACGATTCCTTCTGCATACTTTTTGTAAATGTCCTTTTATCCCACAATTATGGCAGATGGCATTCAAATTAGGGCACTTAGGTTTTATGCGATCTCCTAATCCATAACAATAGCAAATAATTTTTGATACTGGTTTGTACTTGTCATACTGCTCCCTTGTTACTGTTTTTGAGTTTTATTTATCTCCTTCCCTGCAGATAATTTTTCATACGACATCATTTCTGTAGTCTCCATTGCGGTCGCGATTTGTATTGCACTTTCCCATGTCAAGTCCTGCGTGTTAATTAATTTCATTAATATTTTTCCATTATTAATTCCTGACACTAATTTGTCCCGCAATACTGATTTATACATATCTTTAAATTCACACGTCTTTGCCTTTATCTTTATCTTTAATTTATTAATATACTCTATGGTGGTTTCATCTTTTTCTTGTTCCATTTTAAAAAAATAATATCTTTCTAACATGAAATTCGTCTTCTTCATATAATAATTTTTTAAAAGTTTAATTATGTCATCATATGATATTTCCTCTAATGTCTTTGGCAAACACAAATTAAATAATTTAGAATAAACCTCTAATCCAATATTCGCTAATAAAAATGATTTTTTGTCTTCTATTTTTGCGATTTTAAATATGAATTCCATCTTTGATAAATAAACTTCCATATTGCACTTCTTTATATTATATTTCATCATTTGAAACGACTGCGTCATTATAGTGATACCAAATTTTATTATAATTTTAACTATTTTTTATATTTTGTACAGCAGTATATATATCTTTTACAAAACAAACAATTAATCGTCGTACACAATTAATAATATATATATTTAAAATTCATCATATATTTAATTGCCTTTGAGGCTAATTGTTTCTATTACATTATCATTAAATTATTTTTCTGGCATCCCCTTCCTTTAAGGCCTGGCGTAATTGCCTTCCAAAAATTAAAAATATCATCGTCCATTGATTTTTTTTCCAAGAAACCTCAGACTTTAACCCAAACCACTTTCATATATTATATTATTTTATTAATGATATATAATAATTATTTATATTAATCATATATTATATTAATATCTAAAAATCATTATTTTAGTTATATTTTGATAAATGTGATATCGAGTCAATAAATTTTTTAGATCATTTCATGAATTTTCACAATAAAATCCTAATTTAGGTTTATTCAAACCTTATCTAAGAGTATAATAAAAAATGTATCTGTACATAGTTAGATTTTAAATTGTATCTGTATCAAGATAACTTTGTAGAAGCTGTATCTGTATCTAGATAAATTTTTAGACGATGTATCTGTATCTAGATCCATTTAAAAAGTATCTTTTAACAACTCTGATCATTTTTATAAAAACAAACATAAAATAACAAAATCCAAATTGATTCATTCCTTATAAATAATTATAAATTTGTTTACAGTATTTTACATAAAATCTATATTTTGTTATTTATAATATTTTTACAATAATTTACATAAAATTTGTATTTCTAATATTTTTCTATTCGAATTAATATATTTAAGAAAAAAACCAATATTAAATATATGAGCGCATAATTATAATCTAAATTAAAATGGGACAAAAAAAATGTGTACAAAAAATTTAAAAAGAAATAGAAAGAGTCTAGTCTAAGATAGCTCTTTGGCTAGTAGACTACCATTAAAGCTTCTATAATTCGCTTTAAGTAAGTTAAAAAATATAAACAAAAATCAGATATCTAACAACTTCACGATTTTCTCAAGTTTTTTGAGCAAATTAAAAGGTCAAAATTTTAAATTGCGGGAGATATTTGGTCAAATTTTGTAAGAGAAATATCGAAAAGTTTCTTTTATAGATATAAATAAATTAGACTTAGAGATGGCAGACTAACCGCCCGTTATCTTTTTAGAAAATATATATGCCACCTCATAGTTTTGATAAAAATATATTCCGAATCCCCAATATTTTTTAAATATTTTAAAAAAGATTTGAATAAAACGTGGGGATTCAAGATCTCGAATCCCCATGTTGGGATTATGAATCCCAAATGATTCCGTATCCCAATATGACATATATACTCTCATAATAATGTGTCATGAACTAAATTATATATTTTGAATGAACTCAATACCTTTATTAACCTTAAATATTCATAACAGATATAACACATATTAACTGGATAAAGAATAATATAGTTTGAATGGAATAGCTTACCATAATATGATTTTAGCCTGCAACATGGTATAACCATTTATATATAATATAAATAATATAGAATATTATTAATAATAATTATAAAAATAAATATTTCTTTGAGTGCTAACAAAAAAAGGATATATAAATTAGATTTATTAAAATATAGGTTAACATAAATTATTGCATTTATTCACATTTAAATAATATTTAATTTTCAATTTTCCCAAAAAAATAATTTACATTAAACATGCCTATATTATTGCTACAAGCTCGTAAGAAATGATTTTAATGAGTCGATAGGAAATTATAAAATTAACAATCAATTAATATTTCGTATAAAATATTATTGAAGTATATAAATAAATTCATAGTAAATGTCAATTTTTTAAAAAAATATGGACCCGCATAAAGGAATGAATTATATACATAAGATCAAAATTTTATATAACAAGTAACGCATTATGTATTTAATAGGAGGCAACAAATATATGAATTTATCTTAAACAAATAAAAAAAAATTTTTTTAGTAACATAAATTATACTTGAAATTCAAAATTGTCATCGATGTCAAGCGTTTCCTGATTTGTTATATTACACTTTAAAATAAAAAAAAATTGGGAAAAACAAAATAATTTTTATTCTAACCCTTTAAAATAGGTCGTGGTTTTTTCTTAACGAAATAATTTTTTAGGAGAAACTATGTAGAATAAAAACATAAGCATTTCATGGTGGGGAGTGGGATAAACTTATTAATTATAAGGGTATATAGAATATAATTTGCCTTTACAATTTACTCTTGGTTACAAAATGACACGATTTTATAAATATTATATAATAAAAGATAGCTTTTATGATAAATTTAAGTAAAACGTCGTTTCAAATCGTAAACGTATTTGTGCAAAGTTTTGGAAAATGCATCCACGAGGTATTCGTTCGAAAGACCCCTTGCAATAAAAAGATTTTTTATTATTTAAAAAAAAAGAATTAAAATTTACCTCACAAATTATTATTACGTTTAAGATGAATGGCATGAAATAGAATTAAAAGCAACCTGGAATGAACGACATTATGAATAGCATTTCAAAAAAATGAAAAGTAAAAAGATAACATTCAAAAATAAAAAATTTTGTTACGGGACATCGATGCAGCAAAAATAGAGGAGTCGGGAGGAGACTCCGTTGTGACGGGGGGCTATAACCATGTCCGAATAATAAATTTCGAATGTATCGGCGGGTACAGGATTATAGACCGCGTATAACCGGTCAGATGAGACAGAGAAACATATCGACATCCACTTACCACAGTTTCGACTTAATAGATTGGTCCTGTAATAATGAAAGAAATCTATGTTAAAGGTCTAATTTTTACATCAAATCAAATAGACTTCTCTGAAAGATTTTCAAATCAATTTGGAAGCCCCTATTTAAATCCAACCAAAAATGTTAAATTGTATTAAAATCAAATGAAGAAACTAAATTGCAGTGAAAAAGGTTGTGAGCAAATTCAAAAAAAACCCATTAACCTTTAATCATGTATTACTTGATGCATGTAGAACTTTTCCGAGTGACAGGATCAAAAATTTGGATAATTCGCGGTTTTACCAGTTTGATTAAGTCCTCGTTGAAATCAGCTATTTGAGAGGAGCTGTCGACTTGCACAAAATTTCTTTGATAAATTCAAGATATTTTTTTAAGAAATAGAAATAAAAAGAAAGCCCATTGGAAAAATATGATTAATAAATAAAAGAATGAAGAATAAAAGCAACAAAGATTTTTCAAGGCGACCTTTATATTATATTGATTGTCCCATGGGTCTTTGAATTATATATACATGATGTTTTAAAATTTTTCGGCAAATTACCGTGAAAAAATTTGGATTTCTAGTGGAAGTCGATGTAACCCGAAGCTTCCCCAAAAAGGTTTTAGTACCGGACAACTTGTGCAATCATTTTAAGGGCAGGAAGGGACGTTTTTTAGGTAATAATAATGAGAAGTTGTGTTTTTTTCCTTCATAAAAATTAAGGGCCAAATAAAAAACAGATCAAAAATTTTCCAATACCAATATCTAGTCTGGAATAAAAAAAAAGGTAGCGGATGAGAAGGAAAAGGGAGAGAAGGATGTAGAAAAAGACATTCAATTAAAGTTGAATTATTTATTCGTGTCTATTATTAAAAAATACAAACTTCTGGGAATGAATGAAAGACATTAACCGAGCAGGGACACAGTTAACTACAGTGGACACTTTAAAGAGAGTGAGTAAAGAGACCTCGTAGCTCGTTTCCGCTGGATATATCCGGCCCAATGTACGATGCAAAGGCAGGCCAAAATCAGTCCGGAACAAAGGTTTATATGACATTTTGATATCGGTGTGCCCAAATCGGGACAGACGGATAAAACGGTCTACCTTACGTATATGTTTCTAATTTATTTTTGCGTAGCAAATAGTATATGATAAAATTAATAATGTTAATATGTATTTTGTTCTCTAAAACGTGCTTATGATAAGTCTTCTGGCTAACAAGAAACAGATATTAAATGTTAATTATCAATCTATAGACATACCCCCAAGAATAAAGGAGTCATTCCATAATAAATCTTTTAAAATAAAGTGATATAACTGTTATAATCGTCATTAATTTTAGATGATTAATAGATATTTTTGAATAGTTAATTAATTGGAGATCGAAAATTTTACATTATGTTTTTTACAATAGGAATTTGCATATGGTAATTACTGTATGTCCACTTTTTTAAAATATATAACTAATTGTAATTTAAGATTTATTTGTAATACACTTATAATTGATGCACCATAAAAACCACGTTTTACAGTAATAGCGAAATAACTAGGGCTTGGCCCATATACAAATTTTTTACATATGATATCCAATGCCTCGAAATGTAGCCAATAGATGTCCTAACCTTTCTACCATCTGTGGAAAATTTAACCAAACTGCGGTAAATCATGAGTTAGTCCTTTTGAAAAATCGACTAAAGTGAGCAGCGTAACAACATTAGAATGTGAATCGTTAGATATCTTTCAATTCTTTTCTTGTTGCAAATATAACATCATATGTTTACCTACTTTATCCTTTAAAATGATTCGATTTATTTTATGAATTACAAATAAACTGAATTAAGGTTCCACTTGTTAATAAAATAGAATATTATATAAGCAATCATCACAAAATAACTAAAAACAATGAAAATATCGGATCGGTTTTTTTTAAATATCGGCCCAATCCGATATTATTTTTGGCCCAGATTCGATTCGATTCAATATCACAGCCTTAGGATTAACGTAAAAGAATTTTTTAAATTTATGTAAAATTGCTTTTAAATCCTTTTTATAATTTTATTTTTGAAATTTCAACCTATTTATTTACATTAAAATAATAATTATAAAATTTTATTAAATTATTTATAAACAGCAAAAAATAAACTGGCAGAAGCAGTGTGCATGTTTATACTAGGCTTCCTTAATAATAAGAAGAAAAAAAATTAGGACAGTCTAGAAGACCTTAGGAAAATAATATGGATAGTTATTAAACCAGGTGAGATAGATCTCTCCGAGGAAATTATCCATGACAAAAATTATTTTAAAAAATATATCTAATCACCCTGAGAAATGGGCAAAAATTAATAAAAAGTTAGAGGAAATCTCCTTATATAATATGAGCATGAATCAATAAAAGGGTAGAGGTTAATCTCCCTATATCTGAGAAAATAGCCATGGAAAACGCTGGTAAAATAAATAATTGTGCACTAGAAATATATAATATCCAATAATATGGAAACAAAAATAGAAAATAAGAAAAAGTATGTTAACAACCATAGCCGTAATAGTAAGAGTTATGATATATCCAGTAATACGGGTAGTTTTCTTTATCGTGAGATAATACGGGTAGTTTTCTCCATCGTGAGAAATTACTTAATTGTTCAAAGGGTTGATTTTACAAGGTTTCCTTTTTAAAAAAGGAAAAGTCACGATCAAAAAAGGAAAAGTTTCAATCAAAAATGGAAAATCATTATTTATTATATTTTTTTTAAATAAATTTATAATTTTTTCAAGATGGCGCTCTAACTGAACTTTGAAGTCCCATATCTGATTTAGCGAGATTTAAAATTTTGATTATAATTAAATTTACAACATATATACAACTATCATACCAAATTTCATTCATTTTAAAAACACTGATCGATTTTATATGGAATCACCCAAAAAGCAGCAGATAACATTAATATTTATACTATTATATTAATGAGAAGTTCTCATATTAAAGACTAATAGTGAATGATATTAATTTAAACCTGAAACATATCAATGATATGAATCCGAACTAATTTATCTATGTCTTCGGGGAAATTCAAGGCGGGAACGCGAACATTTTCGTAAGAAACGCTGATGGCGTTTAGGTATTCTCTAGGAACCTATTTCGGGAATATAAAGTTTTTAGGGGATTAAAGTTAGCGATCGGTTGACCAAATTGAATCATCAATAAATGTGATTGGCGTGAATTTACGTATGTGCTAGTTTATATTTTTAAAAAAACTCTAATTTTCAAAAAAATCAATTTTAACGTTCTTGCTCTTGGAATATATGATGAAATTAAATTTATGTATTATAAACTACATGATAGCTTTGTTTTTCTATGCAAATACGTTTAATGTAATCATTGTTCAAAGCCTTTTATAGGGAAGGAGATTAAATTCATTATAATAGCAGAAAGTTTAAGTTACAAAATTGGCAAAAAAAATGTAAATGGCTAAAATTTTTGCAAATTAGTTTGAATTTTGTCAACAAATGATAAAAATTAAGAATGTAAAAAATATTGGCTACATACAGTATTACTTTACTTTGCAAACATTAACATAAAAATATGCCATAAATATTAAGCCAATGTATAATAATGAGTATGTGATTCGCAAAGAAAGAATATAGAGGAATGATCATTGTTATTCGTTATATAACCGAATCAAAACTAATTTAATTTTAAAGCATATAAAAATAATTTTACCCGAAAAATCTGACGAAAATTTTCGATGAGAAAGGCTAAACAAGAAACTCCGGCCTGAAACCGCAAGTCGTTAGTGCCCACAGGCCCTGGACAGCAAACGTGCTGACCGCCAAAGCTGACTTCATTATCTAAACCACTGTAACATAAATTATCAAGGCGGTCCGGGCTGGTTTTTATTTTGCGAGATTCCAAGGAAGCCGTAATTGATTCTTGTTCAAATACGGAGGGGTGGAAAAGAGTGGGCGTCAGGCATATGGCGAGGTTGTGGGCAGTCATGAGAGCTCCCGGGGCGACAGAGACAGAACGAAGAACGGAAAGTAGCGGAATAAGGGCTTCCCGCTTCTCGACAGCTAAAAGCGGGCTCCAGCGGTTTAGATCTCGTAAGCAGGACCGAGCTCGACCTTTAACTAATGAAAGAGATTGCCATGGTTTTTTATTAAAGGTAAACATTGGAACGTAGAAGTTTCCATTTAAAATAATGAAATTCAATCTAAAATAATTTTATATTGAATCAAAAAATAGTAAAGCCTGTGTCCAAAATATGAAAAAATTCGATGAGCAAACTTATAAAAAAAATTATTAAATAGGGCCCAATTCATTTTTTCGATTTTTCAAAAGTTTTGAAAATTCCAAAAGTTTTATATTTTAGACTTCACTAAAGTTTTAAAACTTCATAAATAATTTTTAGTGACTAATGATATTTTTTTATGGAACAAGTGAGAATATACAAATATATATAGCCTGGCTGACAAGCCTGTCAATTGACTGAAATGAAAGTAAATTTCACAAGTTTTTTAATGAGATGTATCATATAATTATTATGTATTTTTTTTTAAATAAACCTGTTTTCAATTTAATTAAATAATAAATATAATCTATATCAAAAATTTTGATTATGGGTTAGCCTTCAATACAATTTACCAATAGTTGAACAGATGGTCCAAATTTCAGCAGAATTCTATAGGAAATCAGGGTTTCCTCACATACTGTGTGCAAATGATGGCAAACCGCGAGGATTAAACAAATAAAGAACAGTAGTTCAATATTTTTTAACCATAAAAAATACAATTCCATAGCGAGACAGGCCCTAGTAAACCACCAAGTAACGTTATTATATAGTTAATACATAAAAATTAATTCATTTCCTCTATTGTTATTGAAGTTGGCTACCTTGATTTATCTTATATAGGAGAATCTTCAGAAAAGGCAAATTTTATGAGGGAATTATAATATCAAAATACCTAATCCAAATTTTCTCCCTTCAACTCATATATTATCTCCATATGTATTTGTTGGAGATGATGCTTATCCATTATTAGATTTTTTGATGAAACCTTATATATAATTTGGATGACCAAGAATTTGAAAGTTACGAATTTTATAAAAAAAAATCTTAATACATATGGTTTAAAATATTTATTTGTAAAAAAAGAAAGAGTTAATGATATCATATTTTTAAAAAACCGTTGATTCAAGCAAATCGCCACTTTTGTTATGAAAAATTACAATTACAAATATCGGAAATTGCTGGAGAAGAATCAAACTAAAGAAAGTTATGAAAAGTTATTTTTCACTTATCTTTCTCTAATGCTAAAAAAGTTTCTATCTCTAATCAAATTTTTTTATCTTACATTACAAAAAAAAGAGATAGAGGTAATATCGGATGTAATGTTGTTAAATCTAACATTTCAATACGGCTTAACCAAGTCTTTAGCCTAAAAAAATTTAAAACCTCTAAGTTGAGAGTGATATCTTACATTACAAAAAAAAGAGATAGAGGTAATATCGGATGTAATGTTGTTAAATCTAACATTTCAATACGGCTTAACCAAGTCTTTAGCCTAAAAAATTTAAAACCTCTAAGTTGAGAGTGAGGTAATATCGGATGCAATGTTGTTAAATTAACATTTCAATACGGTTTAACCAAGTCTTTAGCCTAAAAAAATTTAAAACCTCTAAGTTGAGTCTCAACTTAAAGATTGAGACAATTTAAACTTTGTTAAGCCGTTTTGGAGTTAGAAATATTAACAACCTCAATAGGATGGATATGATGTTCAGAGACCGGGAAAAATATACAATGCCTACAAAATATTGTCAACAAATTTTTTATATTTTTTATTGTATTTTAAATATATACTGGATAGATTGATTCGAATATAGTCCTTTTGATGAAGCTTTTATTTCTATTAAGTCAAAAAAATTTCAGGCCAAGCCAGAATGTTAAAAAAATTTCAATAAATTTCGTATTTTATATGATTTTAGTTGTAAATAGAAAATATGAGCAGCAAATGAATGCTAAACTATTAATTATATAATATTCCGACCTTATCCATAATTTTAAAAATCGGCAAGGCCTAATATTGTAAAATTGATCCCTGTTCGAATTTTATTTATAAGCCAGGCCTGGATAATTTTTTTCAGCCAGGCTTGATTGCTAATTTTTTATTTTTAAGACAGACCCGGATTTTTAAACTTTATTATTTTTTGGCATTCGATAACACTAAAATGTTGAAACTTTAATTAAATTATAACTAAAAATATTTAATAAAAAATTTATAAACCTCTTAGAGAATTGCAGGTAGATTCTAAGCCGCGATTAAAAATTAAAAATAAGGGTCGGGCTTAGGTCCAAAAAAAATTTAAAATCGGATTTCTGTGATAAGGACAGTGCAGTTAGTGATTTTTATTTCACCAAAATGGTTTTCATTTATATTTTTTTAAATTAAATATTAGGATATGGCTTACAAATAAAATAAAAATTAATAGCAGAGAAAATTTAAATGCAGGGTACTACTTCAAATAACAAATAAAATCCTTATATCATGAACTGAAATGCAATAAATATTATTATAATCAATGCGCATTACCATTTGCGAATATCGAAATCAAAAGTTGAGACATCTCTTTTGAGAAGATAGGTCCATCAGCTATCTCCCTGTAATACTGTTTAACAACGTCGGCGACATCGTAAATTTGAAATTCGTAAAAAGGTACAGTATTTTCACCTAAAATATATTTTTCTAAAATTAGAAATAGTAACTCGGATAATATTCTACAAAAATTCTTAATAAATATTACTTTTGATTTTATCATTTATATTAGACTGCAAGAAATAAATATTTTCAAACCAACCCGATAAGTAGGAAGAAAGCATTTTCCCAACATGAACCCAAAATTTTATAAAAAAATTCCTGATACGACTTAATATCTAATTTATTCTTCTCAGCCCGAAAATCAAAATATAACAAATATTTATCATAATATCTTTTTATTTTAATATATTATAAGAAAGAAATAATCTAAAAATGAATAAAATAGTAAAATAATATATAATCAAACCATGATTTATATGATAACCGAATAAATTCAAAATTATAACAAAAAAATTTTCTAACCAGCGCTAACTCACTTCTAAAAAATTTCCCAATTCAACCCAACCAGATTTAAGAATTTAATAAACCGACACACAATTTGTAGACCTCAAGTTTATATATAACTAACATAAGGTCTCTTGAATGTTGGGGTGCTCTATTTGTGCATTTCTTTAGTTGACTTTTAAGAAAACGGATGCATCAAGTTTAATAAATTTTTTATTCCAAATTATGAGTTATAATGTTATTAATTAAGATAAGACCAGCGTTCTAGCGCTAATATCAGATAGCAAGCCAAAAATTGTGCACTGCAAAATCGATTCCAAAAACTTAGATATTTCGAGCGCTTGCAAATTAAAAAATTATTCGTCTGCTCACAATTGTATTAATTCTGAATAATTTCAATATTTTAAAATAATAGGCGAATATATAATATAATTTATTAAATGTTTAATTTCTCAAAAGCAAGAAAGCTTGGTATTGGCCTTACTGTATAAATTTTATATTTGAAAATATTGATAGGGAAAATTTTCTAATTAATAAACAAAAATTTTTAAGAAATTTTAATAAATTATAATTCTATTAAAAAAAAATCTTGAACTCTAAAATTAAAACGACTCAACACATATATAATCATATCACCCACCACACACTTTTTATCATAAAACATTAGAATCTTGTATCGACCTATTTTTTTAGGCCTAATATGATATTTTTCCGACAAATAATTTTCCATATAGACAGAGTCCGATCCAAGCTCTTATTTTTGAAATAGGTCTTGGTTCAATCCGTAAAATATTCTACTGAATAAAATGCATGATTGCTTGAATAAGAGCTGGAGGAATAAAATTTTGGCGTTTAATTGAAAAGAAATAAATGAATAGAAAATTTCTCCAGAGTGCGACCCAAAAGAAAATTTACAAATCAAAGAAAAATTAGAGGAAAATTGAACTGGGGAAAAAGTATATGATTTTTTAAAGAGAGAGAAAAATATAAGCGTTACAAAAAAATTTTCATTTTAAAAATTACATTTTGCAAAGGCCCATACGACTCGGCATGAAAGAAAATTTTAATATCAAAGTCTGTTTATATAGTCTGTCCGAGCACATCAATCCAAGTCGATCAGATCTGTGCAAGGATCTACTTTTTATCGTTAAATCAAAACATTTAAAAATGACAAGTCTTTTTTAAATGATAACTCAAATATTTTGGAAATAACATTTAAGGCAATCCAATATCATGTGAATAATATAAATTATATTCAAATATTTATAAATAAAATTATATTTTTAAACATATAAAATGAAATATTTAATTTGTCATTATAAATTTTTTAAGAGATTTTTGTTTTGTAATGTAATTCGATTAACACTACCCAGGCGATAAGCGTCTTCGATACGAGTTCTAAGTGCATATATACGAGCACTAGATCCAGCCTTACGGAACACCCCTGTGTGATCATGAGCTTGAGAGCGAATGTATTGCAAGGCCGAAGTTATGATAGGTGGCAGACCGCGTGATTTTCCGTCTCGCAGTAAAGCAGAACCAAATACAAACGATGAGAGAGATGCGGGTGAGCCACGCGGAAATGAGGCAGAAGATAAAACGGGGGCAAAAAGTCGTGCGGTCAAACGCGTAACAAGGGCAGCGCCGGCGCTGCTTTTTAGAGTAATGGACCTGGGAGAGGATGGGGCTGCTATAAGTAAATTGCGAGCGGAAGTGTATTGGGGGAAACGCACCAAGGCGGCATTACGTAGTAGTGCCAGGTCTTTAGTTGACGCTAATGATAGCGATACGTAACGACTCACACCACCGACTCGCTTACCATGACGATTTTGACTAGAGTCATCTTGGTCCGAAAGCGGGGAATGAGGCGAGCTGTTTTTTAATTCAAATGTAAATGAAAAATGATTAAGAAGGATTAGCATTTTTATTCAACATCATAAGTTAATTATGATTTTAACCAAATTAAAGTATTGATAAATAGTTATATTAACTCAAATTGTCATGTAAAATTTATTTAATGTACAGAAAGAGATACATGGTTAAAATGCAATAGGTCAGAATAAATTTATGAACCTAAAGAGGGTTGCATCGGGGCAGCGAAATCGTTGACGGTCGTAGGTTTCGTAGCGTCGGGACGGTTTAAAGAAGCTATTAGTATCTCTTGGAAAATCGAGAGCACAACTTTCGTCAAGTGTATTAATAGGAGAGGTGGGATGCCAAATATCACGAGTTGACTTAAGACCAGCTGCGTGTGACACCCTCTTGCAAATCGCAAAAAGTCTAACCTTATTTTTTGGAGGTGTATCAGGCCTCTGGGCCAACAAACGATGATAGAGGTCAGGTGCTGAGCGAAAATGTGACTTACGTAGGTAGTAACCGTGAGGAAAGATGGCCACGGAACTACTGGAAACGTCCTCTGAGTATTCGACAAAGCTAGCGGAAGTTGGGACTTGACGAACAAATAGATTATCATGCGCGTAATCCGCGCGAGAGTGTGATGAGCAAGCGGAAAAAGTATCACATGGATCGAGCATCGATATGGCTAACTCTTCATTTTGTTCGCCTTCCTCCGTTATTTCTTTATGGTTATCAATCCCCTTTAAAGATATTGAAGAGGACGAGGAGGAAGTAGAAGAGAAAAATGAACGGTTAGTGGCATGATGACTATCGCTGTAACGGGAGCGTCTGCGAGATTCGAACGAGGATATCCAAGGGCGTCGCCTTAGAACAACATCGCGGCACTTACGGAAAAAGTGATAGTCAGTTAAACGTGATGACAACCTACGATGAGAGTCTTGAATTGATCGCCCCATTCGTGAACTCCTCTATCAAACCGAAATAAATCCATTTATATCATAAATAAGTAAATATTTATTTCTCAAGTCACAAAATGTGATATTTCTACTAATTCTTACTAATTAAGTCATATCAGAGATGCCCACCCTTTTAGCGGATAACAATCCCAAACCGATACTAACATGGTGTTGGCCGATATTATCATTACCAAAAAATAATAATGTAGTATAAATATTGAAAAAATCAGATATAATTATCTAAATATCATCTTTTATTTATTATTTATAAATAAATCAAAAAATAAATAGGAAATAAAGTTTAACAGCACCTTCACTCGGTTCCATGTCAATTCAGCCAAACTTTTATCGAGAATAAATTTCATAGCAATTTTATCGCGAATTCACATAAGCGAATACTTTTCCGCGAATTATTTATAGTGAAACCCTTATCACGAAACCTTTAAAGCGAATACATACATTACAACAAAACTTTTATGGCGAAGTCATTATGACGAAACCCAAATCGCAAAGACAATATAGCGAAAACTATTTAGCGAAAATATTATAACGAATTTAACGATTATGACCTTTAAAATCTCAATTAACATGTTTACAATTTATATTTTTATCCATTTGCGTCAAAAAAAATTTAAAAAATAGCTATATGACAATTATCACTTTTCTATGGCTTTTTCATTGAAATCCCAATTTAACATGTTTACAATTTATATTTTACCCCGACTATATAGTGATGCAAATTAGGTAAAGATTCGATTTAGTCGACTAAATGGTCAACTAAGCCGATTAAATGAATCGAATAAGTCAACTAAATGGTTCAACTTAGTCGACTAATTTAGTCGCTGGAGTTTAGTCTAATTTTTTGACTTAGCCGACTAAATTTAGACGAGTAACAACATTAATTGCTAATAATGGCTATTATATTTTGAAACATTTATTTTTATGATCATTTATAATTGAATAATATTTTTAAAAAAATTTTTTTTTAACAATCTCTTTATTGCTGGCTCAGCCGTTGGCTCACTCAAGCCGATTATTGAGGCGAAATTTATTTATTTGAGTTTAGTGTAGGTGTTGTTAAACGGCTGAGCCAAGCCGGCTTAGTCCTAAACTTAGCCAGTTTTTGAGTCGAAAATTGACTAAGGTTCAAGCCTGCTCATTGAGCCATTTTAGTTGGCTGGTTCGAGTAGGTTCAAGCCGGCTAAGGAGTTGCCTCAAGCCGTCTTTTAAGCCAAAATTTATTTATTTGAGATTAGTATTGTTAAACGGCTGAGCCAAGCCGACCTAGCCCTAAACTCATCTAGTTTTTGAGTCGAAAATTGACTCAAGCCGGCTCTTTGAGCCTAATTAGTCGGCTGGCTCGAGTCGGCTCATGACTTGGCTCAAGCCGACTTTTGAGCCGAAATTTATTTTTAAAGTTCTGAGCCAAGCCAGCTTAGCCCTAAATTCAGCTTATTTTTAAGTTAAAAATTGACTGAGGCTCAAGCCAAAAGGAAGATCTCATAATTAAAAAAGATCTATGACACATATTGCATCGGTATGGCAGACTCTTGTTTTTTTTTCTACCCGCATTATGAAATTGCAAAAAGTATATTGTATTCCTGATGATAATAATTGTTATTTAGGCAAAACTCATTCACAAGTTGCTTAATGATTTTGAGTATAACACCTACTTTAAAAATATTCATTTTAAAAAATAAGACTATGGGGATATTAAATAATCGGAATCAGCTATAAAAAAAATAACATATAAAAAGGATTGATTTATTTTTTATTTATTATTATATTGAATTCGTTTAATGTAATTTTATAAATTATTATTTAATATTATTTGGAAAAAAACACAAATTTAGAATTTGTAAATAAATTATTATAGCCATCATATATATTTTTTAATAATATTTTATTTTTTTGTTTCATGATATTTTATTTTATAGGTATATAAATCATTTTTTTCTTTTAAGCTAAAGATATTTTGATAAATAATCTTTCATTAACTCAACATTTTATTTCTTTTTTTTTCATAGAATTTGATGTAAATCAGAGACCTGCAGGCCCGGCCCTCGGCCCGGGCAGGGCCGGTACGTATTTTAAATTTTTTAAATATACCCGGGCCGGGCCTAAAAAGTTTTTTTTAAAATATATCCGGGCCGGGCTTAAGATTGTTAAACCCGGGCCGGGCCTTAATATTTTTTATAAAAATTTTTACATTATGAGTTAATTGTTATAAAATTATATTATATTATAGTTATGATTAATATAATATTGGGTGATGGTTAACACTACCTAACAACCCACAGATCGATCTAATTATTAATCTCCTGCAAATTTATTCAAAGTATTAATATATTTTTTTATAATTCATATCTAAATTTTTACAACATATTTTACCAAAACAATCAAATAAAGGAATATCTTAAATAAGCCCCAATATTCAAGTATTATTAATATATTTTTTTATAATTCATATCTAAATTTTTAGAATATATTTTAAAACAATCAAATAAAGGATTATCACTTCTTAAAGTTTGTAATTGATTTTACTTAATATAAAGCATTTTTTAATTGAAAAATTTGTTTTACACAAGTATCATTTTATTTCTCTTTTTCTCTGTCCCAAATTCAAGCAATTACGTATGTAGTCAGGGACAAATCGCAAAATGACGGAAAACTATATAAAAGATTATATTAAATTACAAGAGGCTCATGAAGTAAATGAAATACCATCGACCAGTCAAATTACGACTGTTGTTAAACAAACTGAATCGTTTTATGACAAATGAGGCGATGGTAATTCTGGTAATATGTCAATACCCGATGATGAATATTATAATTACATAAATAATAGATAAAACATTTAAGGTGGATAATTTGTTAGAGTGGTGGGCGGCTCATCAAAGCGAATTTCCAATTTTAGCAAAATTGGCAATTCCTGCTTTAAGTGCAAGCTGTGAGCGGAATTTTTCCACTACTGGGAGAATTCTTGAAGAAAGAAGAAGTAATCTTTAACCTGAAAAGGTAGATATGCTTCTCTTTCTTCATGATAATTTGTGAATTTTTAATATCTTTCTTGAGTATTGGGTTTCGTCAATCATGCTGGTTTTTTACTTTGCAAACTGTCAAATATTTATTGCATTTATTATATTTACCTTGAGTCATGAAAGTTTTTAATCCAACATTTTTCTTTATTTTTTTTTACAATATTATATAATATAATTATCATCTTTTGTTAAAAATTTATATTATAAAATAAATTATATTAATATTGTGCAATTAGATTATATTTTCAAAATACTATTTATTATACATGCATTTTTTTAAATAGCGATTTATTTTTATTTTATAAATTAAATAGAATTAAATACAATATATTATATTCTCAAAATATTTTCCATTTTTATAAATTAAATATTAGTTTTATTTTTTTTAAATGTAATATAAAATATAGTATATGACAAATATTATTACCATTTTTATGAATATTAATTTTATTTTTATAAATGCAATATAGAATATAGTATATGCTCAAAATATCCATTTTTATAAATAACAGTTTTATAATTTTTATAAATTCAATATAATATTCTCAAAATATTAGCTTTTTAACATGCATTTTTTAAATAATAAGCGATAATACTTGCTGAAAAATATGGTAAAATACCTCATAGGTGAATTTTTGTATATACCAGGTCGAATATAATTTTAAAAAATTCCGAACCGGGCCTGAAATTTTTAAATCCGGGCCGGGCCTTAAATTTTTAAAACCGGGCTGGGCCGTAAAAAAATTTTTTTTTAAATATCCGGGCCGGGCCTAAAAAATTTAAAACCGGGCCGGGCCGGGGCGTGCAAATGGTACCTCTGCAGGTCTCTGATGTAAATATTAATTAAATTTTTTATTAAACATTTTTAAAGGTGATTTTATAAATGTTAAGTATTGTTTATGAATTTTTAAATGGTTTTTTAATATTAATATCAGATAGGTGCAGAGGTAATTTGCATGGCCCGAATTTTTAAAATAGAAAAATTTCGTCCAGGATTCTATTTTCAAAAAAAAATTAGGACTGGCAAGAATTTTTTTAAAAATATTTAGACATAGTCCGTGATATATATACTCAGGGCCGGATCGTCCCGTAATTTTTTAATGTTATTTTTAGTCTAACCACCATCTTTCAATCGTTTAAGTTGTTATTGATATTTCTATCTTCAATATCAACAAAGATTTTACCTTATAATATTATATATATACTTGTTGAACATATTTTGATTTGATAAGAAATTTAAATCTTCTTTGTAAATAAATCATTTTTGAGGAATTCTTTTGAGAATTTTATAATAAATAAACAATCTTTAAGCTAAATCTTTTATAGTTTTTTATTAGCATCTTTGTAAAATTATCTATTTTTTTAGTATATTAAAAGATGTGGTTTTTTCTAAATAATTTTTTTTAAAATATTTATCTTTTTTATGTTATTCTATATGATCATTTTAACGAAAATATTTTAATGTGACAATTGTCATATTCGTTATTTTTTAACATTTTTGAAACTTTTTGACATAAAGGGTAAAATACTATTTATATTGTAAAGATGTTAAATTATAAATTCAATGAAGATGTTTCTTGGAAAATTGGTAATTATTATAACCTGTATTTTTAAACATTTTAGGTTTTTTTTTATGCTAATGGCCAAAAATATGTCTTATTAACATTATAAATTAAAATTTCAATTAAGATGTACCATATAAAAGTGACAATTGTCATAATCGTTATTTTTAAAGTCTTTAAAAATTTTGATATAAATGAGCTAAAATAAGTATTGCTAACATGTTCAATAAAACTTCAGCGAAGATGTACCCTAGATAAGTGACAATTGTCATAATCGTTATTCTTGAAGTTTATTGAATTTTTTTGACGCAAATGGGTATAAATATAGGTTGTAAATTGTCACTTTCCTACATATTCATGAAATTTAAATTTGACATTTTTACAATATATTTGAACCCATTTGGGTCAAAAAAATTCAGAAAACTTTAAAAATACCGATTATTACAATTGATTCTTATCTATACATTTTCACTGAAGTTTTATTTTGACATGTACGCAATCTATATTTTTGCCCATTTGCGTCAAAAAATTTAAAAAACTTAAAATAATGAGTATAACAATTGTAACTTTTCCATGGTATATCTTCATGAAATTTTAATTTAATATGTTTACAATCAAAAAAATTCATAAAAACTTTAAAAATGGCAATTATGACAATTGTCACTTTTATATGCTATATCTTCATCAAATTTTAATTTAGCATGTTTACAATATATATTTTTACCCATTTGCGTTAAAAAATTCAAAAAACTTTAAAAATAACGATAACACTTAATCTATAGTACATCTTCATGAAATTTTAATTTAATATATTTACAATATATATTTTTACCCATTTGCGTTAATTTTCCTATTTGCATTAAAAAAATTCAAAAAACTTTAAAAAAAAAGATTATGACAATTGTCACTTATCTAGGGTACATCTTCACTAAAGTTTTATTTAAATATGTTAGCAATACTTATTTTAGCCCATTTACATCAAAAAAAATTTAAAAACTTTAAAAATAACGATTATGACAATTGTCACTTATCTATAGTACATCTTCGTGAAATTTTAATTTAACATATTTACAATATATATTTTTGCCCATTTGCGTTAAATAATTCAAAAAACTTTAAAAATAACGATTATGACAATTGTCACTTATCAATAGTACATCTTCACTGAAATTTTAATTTAACATGTTACAAACTATATTTATACCCATTTGCTTCACTAAAAATTAAATAAACTTCAAAATTAACGATTATGACAATTATCACTTATCTAGGGTACATCTTCACTGAAGTTTTATTTAAACATGTTAGCAATACTTATTTTAGCCCATTTACATCAAAAAAAATTTAAAAATAACGATTATGACAATTGTCACTTATCTATAGTACATCTTCATGAAATTTTATTTAACATATTTACAATATATATCCTTACTCATTTGCGTTAAAAAATTTAAAAAACTTTAAAAATAACGATTATGACAATTGTCACTTATCTATAGTACATCTTCACTGAAATTTTAATTTAACATGTTACAAACTATATTTATACCCATTTGCTTCACTAAAAATTAAATAAACTTCAAAATTAACGATTATGACAATTATCACTTATCTAGGGTACATCTTCACTGAAGTTTTATTTAAACATGTTAGCAATACTTATTTAGCCCATTTACATTAAAAAAAATTTAAAAACTTTAAAAATAACGATTATGACAATTGTCACTTTTATATGTTACATCTTAATTGAAATTTTAATTAACATGTTAAAAATACATATTTTTGTCCATTAGCGTCAAAATAAATCTAATGTTTAAAAATATCGATTATTATAATTGCCAATTTTCGAAGGAACATCTTCATTGAATTTATAATTTAACATCTTTACAATATAATTATTATTTTACCCTTTTGTGTCAAAAAGTTTCAAAAATGTTTAAAAATAACGAATATGACAATTGTCACATTAAAATATTTTCGTTAAAAAGATCATATAAAATAACATAAAAAAGTTTAATATAAATATTTTTAAAAAAGTTTAATATAAATATTTTTAAAAAAGTTATTTAAAAAAACCTAATTCTTTGAATATACATAATAGATAATTTTACAAAGATGATAAAAAAAACTATAAAAGATTTCGTCCCATCCAAAAGATTGTTTATTTTTTATAATAAAATTCTCAAAAAATTTCCTCAAATACAAAGAAAATTTAAAATTATTATCAAATGTTCAAAAATCTTTTTCAAAAGATTTTTTTTGCTTAAAATTTTGGGCAAGACATGAAAATCACTAATAAATTGTTACAAAAATAATATTAAAATAGCAGCATTATTAAAAAAAGATCAAATAAATAAATCTATTTTCATAATATAATATAAATTATTATGTTTAAAAAAATTTAAGAACAAAAAAATATTTATATTCTTTTAAAATATTTAAATAAATAAATTTTGGCTCAAAGTTAGACTCGAGCCAACTCCTGGGCCGGCTTGAGCCAACTCCTGGGCCGGCTTGAGTCAACTCCTGAGCCGACTTGAGCACCGCTAAGCCGGCTTGAGCCAACTCCTGAGCCGGCTTGAGCTAACTCCTGAGCCGGCTTGAGCCATGACCGGCTTAAGGCAACTCCTGAGCCAACTTTTGAGCCTAAGCCAATTTTTAGGCTCCACCTGGCTTTTTAACACTAAGTTTAAGCCAATATGTAATGCATAACTACAAGGCATTCATGCTGTGATACAGCATATTTATTTTTTTTTCCTTAATTACTCAAAATTAACTCTTAAAAGTAATTTTTACTGAATTCCCAGAAGATGATTTTGCTAAGTAAAAAGTTTAATTTTCACAGAACATGATTTTTGATTTTTAAAATTAATCATTAGTCTGTGTCTTAATAACTCGGAAAATTGAATATATAAATCTGAGAAAATTTTTAAAAAATTACTTAGCAAAATCTTCTTTTTAAAAAATAATCTGAGAAAATCAACAAAGATTCTTAGCTTTTGGTATTTTATCTTGATTGGAAAAATTTCTAAGTATATCAAAATATTTGTTCAAATTTACTTTAAATGGCATATGGCACATTTTAAAATTTATGTTGGGCACGCTCGAGAAGAGCCCAGAAAGATGTTGGTTTTATTTTTTATCATATCAGATAAAGATTACATGCTTACTCAATAGATAATAAGTAACAAAAGATCCATAAAAACCTTTGCGAGTAAATTATTATTCAATATGTTGTTTTTCTTTAAATAAATGTATTCGCAATATATTTATTGTTTCACGGTAATGCGCATGCGATAATGACTTCGGGCAAACACATTCACGGTAAAAAGTTAGCTGTAAAGGGTTCGCGATAAAAGTCGCTAATGTATTCGCTATAATGAATTCGCGGTTAAGGTTTTGCGGAAATAAACTTGCGATATTATCTTTGCTATAAATATTTCGCGGAATAAAATTAGTGGAATTGATTTCGCGATATTACCTTCTTTATAAAATTCTTTCGCGATAAACGACATCCGCGATAAAAGTTTCACTAATTAATCTGATATGCCCTATTTCTTCAATGTAAAACTAAATTTTTTAAAATAATTTATGAAGTTAATCATAAGTATTGGCCACTGGTATCAATTAAAATTGAAAGTATCGGTACATCCCTGAGTGATATCCAATTTAAAATTAAAAAGATATATGTGATATGCAAGTTACAACTGAAATTAATATTTAAATTATTACGTGTTCGAAAAAAGAGCCGATAGCAGGAGTTCTTGTTGAAGATTTAGAGGGGGAAATTAATAAAGGGTGTGTTGTTTTTCTGCTGAGGCTGAGAAAGTTTCTAAAGCTCGAGATGGTTAAACCCTTTATTTTGTTCAAACTAGCGTTGGGATATTGGGTATTGGTAGATATGGTGGGCTGATCGTTGTTTAGTACACCACTAAACCTGAAAGACCCTTTGAAACCTAACCATTCGGGCTCCAGTTTGCGGCCTTTACCGTTGGATGATATGGCCGAGTCAGAACAGCTATGTTTTTCATGATCTGGGTAAAAATCCTTTTTTTTTAATAAATATTTAAATCATGGAAATCAAGAAGATATTTAGGGCTAGAATTTACAAAACGCTTATATAAATGTTTAAATTTGGTATTAAATTTCGCTGGAGGTCTTCACCAAACAATTCCCATTTTCCTTTAAACGACGTTAAAAATCAGAGACCTGTAACGGGCAGGTTTTTAGCCCAACCGCTAATACTATGGGTGGGATAGAATAAACATTGGACTAGCAGGTTGAGTAAAAAATATTTTTAAAATAATGAGCGAGTGAGTTGGAAAGGGGTTTTGGGCGACGAAATGAACAGAACTGGCTAATATTTAATAAAAATCATTACTTTATTTCATAATATTGTATATCTTATAAGTTTAAGCGGAAATATATTAAAATAAAATAAATAAAAAGCCAAATCAACTAATTGGGAAGGCGGGTCAAACAAAATTATTTGATAAATGAGCGGGCGAGTATATAGATATGAAAAACATTTCGCCACGAACTTTTAAACTACTCTTAATTTCCATTAATCTTTGCCCGAACTCACCCTGCACAATTTAATAATTATAATCTCTCATCACACATTGCATAGTTGATCTGAGATAATTTTTAACACATTTTATTGTATACTAACGTTTGTGCAATCGCAGTGAGAGAGCAATTATAAAAGATTGTTTTATGGAGGTGGAACCAATCAGACATTTGGAAGGCACCCTGGATGGAGGGGGGGAGGGCTTTCAGATCAAAAATCCGCCCATTTACACACCACTAAGCTCTACCTTGTTCAGTGTGTATTTTTGTGACATTAAGCCTATTTTCAGATTCGCGGTGAATACAACCAGAAATTTTTCCAAAGGATCGAGTTCAGAACTAATCATTTGAATTACCTTTATGGGGGAAAAATATTTATAATTCCATGCGTTTCAAAATTTGATAGACTTCAGCATTTTAATTTTATCAACAAATATGTTTAATTAATTCCAAATAGCCTAAAAGATATTTTCGAACCCAAACCAAATCCGTTTTAGATCACCCGCTGTAATAAACGAATTTATTCTGATTCCACACTTGCATAAAAAAATTAGAGGATTCAAAGCCATGGCCTTTATTCCTTCCTTCAAATAATCAGAGTTGATTATTACTAGAGCATCGTTTGTGAGCCTGAATTCAGTTCAGTCCAATTTGACCGAACTCGGGCCATTCAGACTTGGATTGACATTTTCTTGGACTCGGACCTCGAATTTTTAAATTATTTTGTTTTCATGTTTTTATATATAATATTTTGAAGAATTTTTTTCGGATAGAATGGGACCTGAAAAAATACGTCCGATACAAGGTTCTAGTAACTTTATTAATTATGCTAATAATGATAGAGATCTGCAAATGACAAATTTTCAGGCCCGACCCGATTGGAATTTAGCTTTTGCTCTGCCAGTTTCCAATTTTTTTTATTGAGGTTGCCAGGCTCTGTTTTTTTTAAATATAAAGCTTAAACGAAATATATGTAGTTGAATACCAAAATAAACAACTATTTATAATATTGGGGAGTGATTAAATTATAAACACTATACTTTATGGATTATTATTGATATCAAATATCAGAATTCATCAATAATCCAGGCATTGCAGACCTCTAAATACTGGATTTAAAATAATAATAATGCGCATATAAATATATTTCGTATTAATTATTATTATTTATATTAACTCGATAAAATAATATTAGATAAGGACAAATTTGCCAAGTCCAATAAGGAATTGTTGGCGGGTGGCATCACATCAAACTAATGAGAATTAAATAAATTAGTTTCTAAACCGTGCTCTTATTGGTCTAATAGAAATGGGCGCAGGTCTGTATAGAAAATTTCACATTTTTTTTCTTCTTCCTTTTAAAGATTAACGTTTAGCTAATAAAGTAAAAGTGTTTAGTTTTATTTATATTATTTCAAGGAAGAGGGAAATAATCTGAGATGATAAAAAAAATCGAGATGAGTTGCGATAAGTAGGGGAAAATATTATAAAATCGTAAATATATATTATATCGAATAGGAATTTGGAATATTTGTTTTTATATCGTATTTTATATAGTATAACTATTATTTATTTTATAATTTTAAAACAACGTAACGTTACAATGTTATTTGGATTAAAACAATGTTTTAAAAATGTTTAATGATATTATATATCATTTGAAACATAATGAAAATAAAACAATATTAAAATTTGAAATTTCTAGAGGAGGAAAGGGGGAATCAATTCGCGAAAGGGTGGCAAATATGTCATCTAATCTTTTATAAAATAATAATTTACTTAGTTTTATAGGAGAAAAGGATATAATTTTTTTTATCTGTAGGTTACTTTTAAACAGCTAGCGGGTAAGAGAATGCATTCGATTTACAGGAAAAAATATCGAAATGAACTAAAATAATATTCTTTTTTTCCTCTTTTATTCATTCCTTTTGTTAAATTTTTTCTGTCATTTCCATCAAAATTCAAATACGCGACGAGATATGTAAAAGATTTACCTTATATCTGACATCTTATTTTCTTATTCATCGTAAAATTAAAAAACACAAAAATAAAATTATTTTTTTAGATAATATTTATAAATTACATTTAAGTTTAACATTACATTTTTAACATATACCCATTATGAAATAATATAAATATTTTTGAATGAATTTAAAATCGAAACAAAAAGCGAATTAAATTAAGTATTAAAAAAAACTTAAATATGTGAAGATAAAATATATATAGTTCATACGAAAATAATCTAGAAATAAGGAGGAAATTAAGCGAGTTTGATTTAATATTATAATATAATAATGGGCATGATTAAATATGGCAATCGGGTAATAGGAAAAACCTTTGTTTTAAAATAGTTTGTGTATGATTTTTTTTATTTACAATTTTTGATAACTTTAATTTTTTTAATTTACAAATTTTGAAAGCTTTAATGAAATTAGTATAAAAATAAAAACATGTCCAAACTTCTTATATTTCTAGAAAATTTTTAAAATTTAACATACACTTAATTAAAATTTTCCGAATGTTTGGAATCTTTAAAACAGATTTTGGTCGCAACCTAAATAAACGAGTGATGAAAAAAAAACATGATAAAAAAAATCATAGGAAAAAAAGTCATATTTTTTAAAATGCACGATAATTTAAAAGATTATTTATAATATACTTCGTTAAATCGATGTATAAAACTATGTATATGTCATTCAGTAAATTTATTCTTAATCCAAATTGAAAGATTGGTAAAATATATAACACGGGACGGGACGTGCCAAAAAAGAATTTTAAAATGGTACCTCTGCAGGTCTCTGCTTTATATACTTAAAATATTTATGTATATATAAGAGAATGTACTTCAATTTGTATAAAAATCTGAATTAATGTTATGGCTAAATAAACTTTTGAACATATACAATAACATTTTTTAGAAAATTTATAACTATTTCTTATGATGTCCTTTCCTGTAGGCTCACGCAAATCTATGCAGCTTTCAAATTAATAAACAAGCTTCCAAAGCTCTGCTTGATTTTAAAATGAATTTGCCTAAATGTTTTTGCAAATATTGAATATAAAATTTGAAAGGTTGATTTTTTATATGCTTTTACAAAGGGTTTGTCAAATAAGATAATCAAATGGTTTTCCAAATGTTGAATATATAATTTGAAAGGTTGATTTTTTGAATGCTTTAACATGGGTTTGTCAAATAAGATGATATAAGATGAAATTTGTCATTTGGAAAAATATTTATGAATGTATCTATGTAAATAAATTTTCTTGGCCTTTTTTCTCTTTATTTCTTATTCTTTTACAAGTTAGGCTACTTAATTTTTTTTAGATGTTTCATTAAAAACATAATTAATTCGTCGAATTTAAATCCAATCCAAAATTCTTTTATTATGTGTTACAACAGATTTAATTAGTTTCACTAAAATCATAACTAATTTAGTCGAGCTAAGACAAGGTACCACATAATGCTATGCTAAAAATAAGAGACTTCAGGCCTGGCCCAACGACAAGAGACGAGCCGTAAATTTTTTTAAAGAATAAACCCGGGCCCGGCAGAAAATTTAAAATCGATATTTATAAAATAATAAAATATTTTTAAAAATTGTTGAATAATTGATTAATATATCATATTCATTCACTTCTCATATTCCATATCATTTCAAAATAATTGTATCGAAAATTTTTTATAAATCCGGGAGGGGCAATTAATTTTTTTAAAAAAATCAGGACTGAACAAAAAATTACAAAAAATCCATTCCGGGCTTAAAATGAGAACTTTTGCAGTTCTCTGCTAAAAATGTTATTTTAAATTTTCGATATATATAATTATTTTCTGGCCTTTAATTTTATTAGGTGAAAAAATAGGCAAAACCCAAAATAATTTTTTATAAAATGTAATCTAATTAAAAATCCAGGGTGGTAATAAAATTATACAAAAATTTTTCATGACAACATTAGCAATCAAAAGCCCTCCCACTTTTTATGGATAAGCCTTACTTGTATTAGAGCTTTCGCTAAATCGAATGTAAAATATACATCCACCACTGCCAAGACATGAAAAGCGAAGTAAATACACTACTTTAGAAAATAAGTTTACAGTTTGTTATTACCAATGCTGTGAACTTGGAGAATCCGTTTAAAAAAAATATTAATCAAAATAACACTTCAGAGATCTTTTAAATTTGTGCTAGTCCTTTTATAAACACATTACCTGTCAGATTAGAAGGTCATCAAATAAAAATGACAAATGGATTTATTAAATATTCCGAATAATTCGTTTTATTCGAATCGAATAAATAATTATTCGTATTCGGATAAAATAAATAATTTATTATTCGTATTCCTAATTATTCGAATCGAATTATTTTGAATAGGCCCAGTGGCGTAGAAAAGGGGGGGTTGGAACCCTTCCCCATAAACTCCGAAAAAAAATTTTTTTTTAATTTTTTTTTATTGCAAATAATTTTATTTAAAAAATGATT